GACCAGTCTTTCGGCCGGTCTTCTGTATGTATTTTTCCTAAGATTTTAATATTTAATTGCGATTTTTGGATACGTCGCAGATTGTTAGCTTTAGACATTAAATACAATATTTAATTTACTGCGTAAATTTCTTAGATGAAATAATTTAGTATTTGTTGATAATTTTTTTTGGTACAAATGTATAATATTTCATAAATAATAAATCTATCTAAAGGGTTTCATCAATTTATAATAGTGAGAAACGGCACATAATTAAATTAGGGGTATGTGCAACAATTGCATGTATGTTAGAATATCCATAATTAAAGGAGTCATAGTTCAACCTTAAGATGAGAATTTCAAATTGAAAAAAAAATTATTGTCTCCATATCATAGTAATCCATTTAATCATTGCCCAAAAAATATATATAAAGACACAACATTTGTAAAACTACCAGTGATCTCATTTTTTATATTATAATAAATATATGTTGTTTATAATTACGATTTGAATCTTTGCAAGTACTTAAGTTAAAATATTGTAGTAAATAAACAAAATAATCTTTTCGTTTTGTCAGATAACGTTCCGCATTTTGAAACAATCCTATCAGGTTTTGCGTTTATCCTATCGTGAAGATCGTTTATCAGGTCTATCGTGTTTTGCGTTCATCGTGTTTTGCGTGTATCGTGTTTTGCGTTTATCGTGTTTTGCGTTTATCCTATCGTGCGTGTATCCTGTCCTATCGTGTGTGTATCCTATCGTATCGTGCGTGTATCCTATCGTATCGTGCGTGTATCCTATCGTATCGTGTATCCTGTAAAGAATAACGATGCGGGTACTGTACACACGATTACACACACACACACACAAAGACACTTGTGTCGGAAATAATTTTTAACCTATGGTATAATAATAACACAATTGTTATTTTTATATTTTGGGTTAAAGATTTATTTCCGAAACAAGTGCCCCCCCCCCCCCCCTTCCCGGTTATGAATATCCACACATGAACATCTTACTAATTAAATGTCACTAAAATTAATTTGCAACTATTGTTTTAAGTTAGGTCTAAAATAACAGAAATAATTACATTAATCTCAGGTTATTCTCATTAACATTAAATTAACTTTAAAGAATTAACGTTAAATTCATATTAACATGAAATTAACATTACCTAATCAACGTTAAAATATTGTTAATATTTTGGTTCTTATTTTTTTAAGACAGAACCTAAGCCCACTCAAAATCTTAATGTTATTTAAAGATATGTATGCCGTGTTAAACAGTATTTTTGCACAGCTGAAACCGAACAAAAATTTCTGGAGTATGATAAGCTACCAAAAATGAAGCATTCTTGCAAATTCGACGAAATTTTATTCGGTATTAACAAAGTACTGGTCACGAAAAGAGCACGATATTCTCATGCATATTTATAAAGGACTGACGTTTATCCTGGATCTGCGCATGTGCGCGGGAAAAGCATCGCGAGGATCATCAGGTCGAGGAAAATAGTTTTTGTGACGTCTGTTCAGTGAGGGACACAAATAGACCAAACAGCTCAATGAGTTGCATTTTATGCATTTATGGGTTACTACATAAAATACTACATGTGTTTTTCAAAAAGGCTAGTTTTTTAAATCGCTCTCAGAAAGACATGACGCATTATGTACATTATTATCTACTAATCCCATGCTCATACTTGCATACAAATGATTAACAATGATGAAAATTAAAGTTTTCCCCACTCCATTGTACAGGTCCGTTTGTTTAGAGTTTCCCCGTCCTGTACTGCTAGTGGGTATTTTCGGTTGGGTGAACATTTACGGATCTTCAGTATGGAGCGCATTATGCGCAATAGATATTTTATGTCAAATACAATGTATGGAAAGTATGTTTACACCCTGAATGGGATATCGTCAATTATCCCTTTTGGTTTTTTTAATATGAACTACATAACATATGTAGATGAAACTTACATTCCTTACATCTTGCCTTCTTAGAAATATAGTTGGGCTAATAAAATAAAATTGGTCAAGGAATTCCAGGCCTCTAAAAACTATTCCAGTATGAGTGCACAACCAAGCATTTCGATGAACACCATTAAGAAAAATTAATTCAGGTAGGTAGCATCGTTTATTTAAGTGGGTGGGGGGATAGGACAGTTAGAATAAAAATCAACTAGCTCGAAGAAATCTGACAAGTAAAATAGGTTCCAATATCTTTCACTACTACATTTTATTCATTCACTACAATTTAGCGCCAAACTCCAAATTTCACTTTCGAATTAGCCCGAGCCAATGCTGATAACCTACTTGCAAGATTTTTTTATATTATTTTCAAGGGGTCGGAAATATTGTGATTCATATGAAAAGAATATAATGATATTATTTAGTAGTATTCTGGTTTTGGCATTCGGTATATTGTGCAGATTTTTATATGCTATTCTGTGGAATACTTTTGTTGTTTTGAACCATCAAGAAATGCAGAATCAAATGTATCTAATAACCATTTTGATTGATCAAATTATATCATTTGTTTGTATTGGTTATTTCATTTTGGCACAGCATGGTTTCCACACTTCTTTATCCATAGTCGCTGACAGCTGTAGAAGTTCACCCGACCGAAAATGTCCATTGAAAAGACAATTGCACGTGATTATTCGTCGGTACAAAAAGCAACCAACTCTGAGGTGCTCTCAATATTGACAATCCCTAACTCACGTGTTTGTAGTAAAAACGTAGTAGACCATCATGCTTTTCGGTTCATTCACGAGATTGGACCATTGTTTGCTGTAAACATGCGCGACAAAGTGATCATGAATATTTCAATAAGAGGCGGTTATTTATCCGACAATTTATCCGTTAATTAAAAATTAACAGCATGAAATAAATGTGAAGTTAAATTAACGTTAAAAATTAGCGTTAATTTAATATTAACAATTTTAACGTTAATTTAACACGAAACTAACATTAAACTGACTTCAAGCTAACGTTAATTTAATGCTCAATAAGAAATAAGGTATCATTTTGGGAGTTTTATTGGGATGTAAAACGGGTTGGTCACGTGATCAAATCTTTATGGAAGATTTGATTATGTGCCTACCCGTTTTACATCCCAATAATACTAAAAAAATGATACCTTATTACTTATATTTACATTTGTGACCTATTCATACTTTAGATTTGCCTGATTGTGACTGTAAGCGTTTGAAATATATTATTTTTAAACCCAACGGCATTTTTGTAATCCACTGAACGCGCGTCGACCCTTTATGACGTCACTGAGAAATACGTCGAATGTTTATCCATACGAGCATCTATGACCTCTTGACCCCGAACCTTTATTTATACAGTTATAAAACGCTTGCCTATAGTAGTGTCACATAAAGGAAAACATTTGCAAATGTAAATATTTGAGATTAACACTTAATTAACGTTAGGCACAATTGGCTATGTAGAAGTTACAAAGCGATAATAATTCTTAAATGAGGATTAAAATTTTTTCTATTTTGCTTAAAATATTGTCTTTCCCCTTTGATACAAGGGGTGATCAAAAAGTTCGCACACTATTTCTATATCTACAAAACCACAATTCAGATTAGAATGAAATTCGGTACACTCATAGCCATACACAAGTTCTATAAATAGCATATGTGAGTAAAGTTTCTCTCCTTGTTTGAGACGTCACAATGTGAAAATGACGTCACTATTTAGGTCACTTGACGAAAAATGGTGGTCTCAGTAGAACTCATTCAACAAACGACTGTTTATTTATTGTAATATCTTAGAAATCCCTCTACCGTATCATATAATAATCTGTACACAGTTTATTGAGATAAATGAGTTCCTATAAATTCAATAAATGATTGGATTATTTGTTTGAGTAAAGGAGGGCTGATGATTAAAAATGATACTTCCCATTGTCATCTTGGTCAGTGAAAGCAAGTTTGAAAAGATATGTATTTTTAATTAAGCAATTTGCTATCAAAGACCTCCAATTAGCACTTTCAAAAATAGTTAAATATTTGAACAATGATATAAGTATTAAATACCTAAGATATCGTTTACTTTAGATTTTAAACATATTAGATATGATAAAAAGGATGCACCCATTCTCTATCCACCCTGAATAAAGGTCTCTCCTGAGACAGCAGATATGTGTTTTAATGGTCGCCATGCTTATTTTTGGAAAGGATGTTATTAACTTATTATCCACCCATTCTGCTGCCGAGATATTACCATTTCTGACAGATTTATTGTTCTTGTCATAAAAATAGAAATATAAAACTCTGAAAAATCTTTTAACTTTTGTGACAGAACGCTACGGAGGGGGTCACGTGACCGCCAATTTCACGTGATTTGCGCATGTGCAGAACGGTGGTTGATGTGCATTTAAATCGAGGAGGATTAATTTAAAATATAAACATAAAAACCAAATATTGTTTTTTGTATGGAAGTTATTGAATTAGTTTGCGAACTTTTTGATCAACCCTCCTATGTGTGGGGTTTTATTCGATAGAAAAATATGTTTTTGATATTAGGTTAGATGCTCAACAAAGAAAAAAAAACTTGAATCGGCCTTTACGTTCGACATGACCAACTACATTTTTTAAGTCTCCCTAAAATACGAAATTAACTTTAGAATGTACATATAACAACATCATATCAAGGTTTGTCTTTTTGACCCTATCAAAATATTCTTTGCTCGTGCAAACGATCATATTGATGAAAGTCATGAGAATGATACAAAAGAAAACGTGGATTAAAGATTACCGTCAATTAGCTTTAGATCAGGGATAAGCTCTTCTGAATTACACACATGTATTAGTCTATTCACAGCGATTTCAAAGAAATTATACTCATCTTATAAATTAATTTTATATAGTGATGTAATGATGTAATGATCAGGTTAGTGTCAAAATGAGCTAAACACTAAAATCATATATTATTCGCTCAAAGCTTTGATGTTGGGGATTCATTCAATGCATACATGTACATTCATATGTTATTGATCTTTTCAGACTACTTTCATTACTGGTTGCAATCCATACAGACATATTGTGATGTTGGAGAAACACACACAATCCAGGAAAGCACAGAGTCAAGATCCAGCGTTCATCCTGTTATAATTGTTGCTTCTCATGCAGATGAAGTGGTAAGAAAACAATGTAAATCCTACAGAGTTATCAACACAAAAACGAGTTTGCTGATGCCTTATAATTGTTGTTTTATTACCTTGAATCTACATATTGAAGAATTTGTGCCTTTAAACAAATGGCAAAAAGCACATGGTGGGTATGACTGTTAAAAGGGAAAGCTCACTCTTCACTGAAACTTTGTTTCACTCTGTGTTAGAGGTAAATGTTTGCTTTGCTCAAAATCTCTATTCATTTATCGGACTTTGAGGACTTAATTTTAGCACTATACAATGTATATATTGAATGTCTTACACTAGACAAGCATATATATATTGTATTTGCATATTATGGATTCATTGTCATCCTTATAGGACATCTGCAAATCAAGTAGATTTCTAAGAAGATCGCTAGAGTCTCATGCTGTACAACAAGCAATGGTATTTTTGAACTTCTTGGGGAACATACAGTAATTGTTTGAATTTGGCGTGTACGATTTTAGGCGGAAATTCGTTTTTTAGCAAGCAAGTGTCAGTTTGATTAAGCGCTATCTGTATGTGCTAGATGTAAAGATAAATTATACAAGGTATTAAGTGATGTAGTTGATTTGGTGAATTCAGCTTTACACCAAAATCGCTAAATAGAATACATCGCAAAATGTAGTTCATGTACGTTTACAGTGGTTTTAATACTTTTATGAATCGTTTACAGTGTTGTATTATGATCAGGTAACCGTTGAGGGCCTTGAGTCTATTGTTTTACTTTTTGTGTTACCACTTTTAACTCTACAACTATCTTTATTATTTTTTTTCTTTTCTTTTGAAGACTTACATATAAGAACACATTTTCTTTTGAAGACTTACATATAAGAACACAATATTAAATTGTTTTTTTAAACAGAAAGAGGATTTGCAGAAAGTGTTTTACGAGAAACTTGAGAAATGCCTATCTGATGAACAATCTTTGAAACACCTTATATCTCCGAACAGATATTTTATCGTCGAATGTCCACCAAATGAATTGTCACTAAAACAACAAGACTCGATTGAACGCCTCAGAAAATGTATAACAGAAACTGTAGAAATGATGCCACAGTGGGGAGAGGTTATTCCTCTGAAATGGGCAAATCTTGAGAAAGTTCTGATTGAGATGAAGGAAAATGGAAGAAAGGTTATTTCAGTACAAAAAATAAAAGGATTAAAAGACATTGATTTACCTATTGATAAAGATCTTGATGATGGCCTTCGGTTCCTACACGAAATAGGTCAAATCGTTTATTTTGCTGACGAGAAAATGAAGAATGTGATAATTGTTAACGTTCAGTGGTTTGTTGATGCCTTCAAATACATCATAACTGATGAAAAACATCTAGCTAGAATAGTGAGCGAAAATATATGGATTAACACAGGAAGAATTACTGCATCTGAACTGAAAGAGATATGGAAATATACTAAAGATAGCTCTTATATTCAGCATAAAGATGATATTTTACCATACATGGACAAACTAGGTTTAATGACAGAAATAAAGGGTGACTCTAGCGGTCAAACATACTACATACCGAGCATGAACAGAACTGAAATTACCGATAACTGTCAACATGCAATCACCAAAGGACAGAAAACATCGATTATGGTGTTCCATTTCAAAACGTACTTGCCTCATTTTTTCTTCTTTAGGCTTGTAGTAAACTGTTTAAAGGAATGGAAGGCACTTGATATGGCGTTCTTTTGTAAGAATGCTGCATTCTACATGGTAGAAGATGCCAGCCACTACATTGCTATTGCTGTTAACAAAACTTCCATCCAGTTACAGGTTTTTACTGCAGATAAAGATATGAAACTGCAGTCAGAATGCGTCATACAGATCAGAGATACGGTGGAAAGTCTAATTAACGAAATAGCACAAACTTTTCACAGACACATTAAATATGAGAGGGGGTTTTCTTGTACAGATATAAACATTACAGATGAGGATGACGAATTTTTTTTGAAAGAAAATCAAATAGAAGGAATAAAAACAATTACTGGGAAAGAAGAAAGACCATGCCCTAAACATGTTCTCCGAAATCCACATGAAATCAACAAATTCAAAATGATGCAATTCTGGTTCAATTAATTCGTGAAATTAAGAATTACAGTGGAGAGTCTGATTACAAAAATAAAAATAAATATTTTACAAATAAATTAAGTATGAGATATGACATTGCTGCCAAAAAAGAACATTGCAGATGAGGATCAAGATTCTTTTATTGGTGAAAGTGACGTTATGAAAGTAGGAACAAGTTCTGGTTAATATTAAAGGCCTTGTCCAAAGCGTATCGGTACCGTGGATAACAAGTTATACCGAGAATCCAGCTAATATCATGAATATGTTCAAGGAAAATTTTTGTTTGCTGTGTACCATCATGTGTATTTAGTTAGTTATTATTTCAGCTCAGATTTCATTTCATTTAACTAAGCTTTACTTAAAGGTCAGGTGTTAACTTTATTACTCTGAAATTGTTGTTTCAATATTTGAAATTTAAATAATTTAAAGAATTATATAGAGTGTCAGGATCATTTATGTTTATTCCACATTGGAAGTTTTAATGTGTCAGGCAGTATTATAAATTCAACATTTGTGCACATGTTCCTATTACAATGTCATTCAATATCATAAACAGCAAAATTCGATAGCTCTCTTTATTTACTCAAAAGACCTAGAATATTAAAATGTTTACTAAGCAGACAACAACATTTTCTTCACAAGAATTTTTAAAGATCAACAGCCAGGTCCTTTTAATTTTTGATTTGTTTGTCACTAATATTATTTTTTTATGATCTACGAGTATTAACTTAATATCAATAGAACAGTTTGTTTACTATTTCTGTTAAGTGGTCATCCTTGTAGAAATATATATAATTATCGACTTTTGATGATATCAACTTGTGACTATAGACCTGGTCAGGTCCGCCGACGTTAACCAATACCTGACCAGGTCAGTATTGTCACGAGTAGACCGAATTCAAAAGTCAATAACCGTTTTATTAAATGATCAGGAATTTTACAACAAATTTGACAATTCGTTTTTGTCTTCATCAAACATAAACACTCATAATAAAATACAAAGTGTAACAATACTTTTCACATGTTGCTATACTTCAACAGCTTAACAACTAGTAGTTAAAAATGGAAAACAATATTATGAAATAATCAATACTCAACCATTTACTTTCAAAAGCGTTTTATCTACTTGGTACTGGCGTCTGACATGTTTACATTCACACCAACACATGCTTAGAAACATGCAATCTGATTGGTCGAAAAAACTATCAGCAAATCTATGGTTGGTCAAGAGTAAACCCCCCAGAACTCCATTTGAGGTGAACTCACTCTGAGGCACTTTTCAGGAGAAGGCTTTTCAGAAAAAGGCGTCTAGACCAACCAGAGAGCACCCAAATTCCTGGTCATTGAATAAAAAAAACTTTTATTTTGATTTGTTTTAATCAACTTCATCGATAAAAGGTCCTTGGACACAGATATGAATTTGATATTAATACATGTAGTTAATATTTTATCATTTTTGTATAATATAATGATTTATATTTTGCTAATAATAGCATTTCCACAAGGAAATATAAAAAAAACGTAATTAACATGGAAATTATTTAATCTACGAATGTCGGGAAGCGTTTGTTATTACATCCTTGCTCTCATATTTAGCAAATTTTATTTTAATACTGAAGAAAGGTTAAAGATTTGGTTGTGTATTAATAAAAACATATTCAAACTACTATCCAGAAAATAAAGAAATATAAAGTGAAAACACAAATTTAAGCCAACTGATCGAATTGTCAGTTTGCGCTCGGCAATGTGTGTAGACTTTTACAAAATTGTACAAACCCATGAAACGTTAACATTACATACAACTTAGCTCGATCGTGTCCTGTTTACCAAAATAAGTTTCCGTTTCATGAGTGTGTTTCTTAGTCTATTTCCATGTGAAATGCAATAAGAACATATGAGATTAGTCATGAGATTATACATGTACCGGTTTTTTTAAAAGAAATTATTTACTTGAAATCTGGCCCAAGCACCTTTAAAGATAGCTATAAAATAATTTATGTTAGTCTGCAAAGATGTAAATGTACATATAATTTGCATGTCTCTTTAAATAGATGAATAAATCATTTATGAATAAAACATTTGCATAAAACGTTTGAATTATTAGGATACGAAAAACTAGAAATTTTGCTATTGCAAGCAATAGGGTATGTCGCCCCGAACTGGACAAGACTTTCATTATTTGTATCACTAAAACAAAAACCCATTAGCTAAGCTTGGACAACCATCAATTTGTATCAGTCCTTTCAGTACATGTTCTTTTATATAAAATCAAAATAAAAGATTTTTCACTTTTCCCTCTATTCAATTGCAACTATTGACAATTTGCAATTTTTAAATGCAACACGCACAATTACAGATAGTAATCATTAAATCAATAAAGTGTAATGACAAACGTCCACGGGACCAGAGAGAACACTAGCGGACAAAATTCGTCGCGTTTTTGCAGGTTTCCATGGCACGGTAGCCATTTTGAAACTGAATAACCACACAACACAACTACAACCAGTGATCGTCTTTTTAGGAAGGTTTAAGGAAGATTGTCCCCTGGAGACATCTCAGAGAAACAGCCCGTATACATGTAAAAAAAAAAAACATGCGTGCAATCGCAATAATTATGTCGTCCCGACTTCGTTCGGGGTGACATAAAAATTTTCATCTATACCACATTTACATAGAAATGTACAAAATGAAGGGTAAGTGAAATGTGCAAATTAAAGCAAACCCCTTTATATGTATAACGCAAACATACAACGGTCAAATTCTGATGGCATATGTTTGGTGATGCAATAAAACATTGTTTATTGCCTAGGTCACATTTAATCCATTGGTTAGGCGACTAAATTTTTCTGGTCTTGTCGACTGAAAGTCGACACTAGTTTCGGGCGACACGGAGCAGTCACATTAATTCCAAGGAACACCGATGACTTGAATAAATAACACACACATTTCTATCTGTTATCTGTTCCGCAGTCCTATGTGCTTTGCAGGTTAATAACCTTGATAATGTTGACGGCAGTTTTCACTCTCCTATGCATTAGTTCGACAGTACCGTGTACATGTGCTTATGTTTTATATAACTTGTATTAACAAAGGTGGATCCAGAAATCTTGAAAAGGGTAGGGGCCCACCGTCACACCAAAATATGCATTTTTTGTGTAAAAATATCTTAACACATTTCTTTTAAAAATTTTAAAATAATTTTCGATATAATATGAATTAAAAAGCTATATGAAGAATTAAGTTTGGTATTAAGTCCTTTTGTAAAACGGGCCCCAGAATTCTTTAAGTTAGCGCCGACAACCCCTTTTGTCATGCAGCTGTCAAAGTAAGAAGCCGTGAAAGACATGCATGTAAGGTAGAAAGGAATGCTAAGGTTTAACCCAAGTAATTCTTCTAATTTGTTTTTTTTTTAAAGAATTATGAATAATTCTTATTGGGACATTCACAATTTTTTTTTACATTGAAAAAAAGAATTACTCTTATGATTATCTAAAGGAAATGTGAAATAAAAATTAATCAATTATAGCATGACTTGTGGGGCTAAGTTAGGCGCAAAAGACTCTTCAACTTGACAGATTTATAAAGGGATAATAGACACTTTTGTCATTAAGAGTTTTCTCTCTTATCCGAGTATCGATGTACCTTCAGTATTATGGATTAAGCTTATTTTGTTAAAATGCGAGATATATGTCAATGAAACGTATCCAAAACTTTGTAGATTTGATAATTTCCAGATAAAAGAGGGTTTCAAAAACATTATTTTAGTATATTTCAGTGTGAAATGCATTAGCAACATATGAATCATGATATTATTAAGTTAATTTGAGAAAATCACAAATCTCTTTTAACCTTGTATATGTACTGTTGTACAATGTAATTGTTCACTGCAAGCCCCCCCCCCCCCCCCCACCTTATCCAAACTGTTTATTGGAGTTTAGTCATGTACTCTCAAATTAAATCTGTTAAATTTCTATCCACAACATAAGAATTTGGAGTATGATCATAACTATTTTTTCTTTATCTAAAACTGTTCAGGTAAACTGCCAGTCCCTTTCCCTAGAGGAATAGAAAAATCTTTAATAGCTGAGAAAAAAGTAACACTTCACTGTTTGTTCTATGACATTAATGAAGCCAAAGAGATGACATTTCAGGCTTTCTGGAAAGCCAAACTTGTTTCTACTCTTGGTTTCGAATCCTGTTTTGTGATGTGGAGACTGTTCCTCTCAGCTCTGCTCTGGTCTGCTTAATTCATGCAATAAGTCTGACTGCTATATATAACACGTCAAAAGAAGATTTAAAACTTAAAAAATGCTTGAATACATGACACAGGATTAATATTAATTAAACTTTGTTTGTGTGTGAGTATTGGATGGAGGGAGCTCGACATAACAATTTAACAATTTCAATTATATTTCAATTATATTATACCTTGGAAAACAAAGGTGTTTTACAGACCATCCCCCCCAAAAAAAATCAATCAATAAATTTAAAAACTAATTAAAAAATAAGAAACAAATAAGAAATTGACGTTACTATAAATAATTTATATTTGCTAGTACTTTTTTGCCCTTTGAGATCGCATCCTGAATCCATGGGGGAGCGGCGATTCCCAGACTTACAGATACCCCCCCCCCCCGCAACACACACACACTCACACTTACACCTAGCCAATGCAGGACGAAGAATTTTATGAGCGGAATGCGTCTTTAATATGTTGATATATTTTTTGGGGGCATATATTGGTTTAAAGTAGGCATAAATGGTATAATAAAACAAAAATGTTCATAGTTTTAGTGTACATGTATATATTTATGGCATATTATTATATATATTTATTATATATTAGAGGTCAAATTCGGAAAAATAAAACTCTAGACTTATTCACTTTGATTACGTCAACAAATATCCGATGATTTTGCCAGCGACAATCTGATGTGACCTTCTTTGGGATGTTGTTAGATGTTGGTGTAGCGTTTATGTGAGCGGATCTAACATCGCATTTTTTATTA